GTGTCTCTCGTGAATAAATAAATAAAATCTTTAAAAAAAAAAAGATTTCAGACAATGAGCTAACGTAATAGTTGGCTCTGGTAAATCCGATTGGAACACTGACTTTGGTATATTGCCGCTCTGCTCCCAGAATCTCCCAGAGGGGTCTGTTTATGAGCCAGAGCACTTCTTCCTCATGCCTAGAACCCATATCATACCTTCCTTAATTTTCTCATCTCTGGCTTTCATGAGTTTCTCTGAAGGCCATTTCTCTTCTAATGAATTTATTCTTTCATTATATAGCCTTCAGCTGATATCTAAAAGGAAGATACCTATGTTGATTTTCCATAGCTTTATTTTCAAAAGACCATCTTGTTTCAAATTGGATGAAATATATCACTTGAAGATTTTTGCCCTGGGGTGCCTGGGTGGTTCAATTGGGTAACCATCTACCTTTGGCTCGGGTCCTGATCCCAGGTCCCTGGGATCAAGCCCTGCTTTGAGTAGGGGGCTCCCTGCTCACCAGGGGAGTCTGCTTCTCCCTCTCTTGTTGCCCTTCCTTCTGCTTGTGCACTCTCTCTCTCTCTCAAATAAGTAAAATCTTAAAAAAAAAAAAAAAAGATTTTTGCCATCTGAATTTAATCTTATTTAGATTTAATCTGAATTATTATTCAGATTAAAAAGTGGAAGTGGGAGGGGTGATTACAAATGGTTTATAACTGACTGTCATTCAGTATTGTAAAAGTTTCCATTTTGTTGAACCACATTGCATTTTCAGAAAGATCACTGAATATTTTAACCTTCCACCTTTATTTACTTTGAGTTCTTGTAGTAAATCTATATATTTTTATATTCTGATTTTATTTTTATTGCTTTATGCATTTGATTAATTTCTCAGGGCCTTCCTTGTATCAGACTCTGTGCTGGGAGATGATAATAAAGAGAGGGAGAATGGCTTGAGCTTGGGTAGAATGGGTTTCTGCCTGCTTTAAGTGCATTGAGAGACGCCCAATGCCACCTTGCAAATTTGTCTGCCGAGAGCAACACTCTATTTGACGGGTATAATGATAATTATACCATTTGAGTCATAACTTTGGAGGAGAATAGGGTAGGGAAACAAGTTCACTGTCACCTATTAACACAAACATTTTAAGATTATGGGATATTTCCATATAAAATACTCTTCAGACATCCATCTACTTATTACCCAGTTATAATGTAAGTTAATATTTTTGCCATATTAGCTTATTTTTTTAGAAAGACAATTTATAAAAAAAAAAAAAAGAAAGACAATTTATGATGACTTACAGAGTCATCCAATATATCCACCATCTTGATGGACATTAACTCCCAATTTTTCACTGTTACCAATAAAGCTACATTGAATATCTTTATATATGTCTCCTTAAGTATATATACAAGGATTTCTTAATACACAGAAATATAATTGCTGGTTATTAAGATATATGCACCTTCAATTTTGTAAGATATTGCCATGAGTGGTGTATGAATATGCTTATGCTTTCGTACCCTTATAAACATTGTAGAAATTTTTAATTTTCACCAAATGGATATAAAATGGTACCTTGTTTAACTTTGCATTTTCTACTGAATTTAAGACAATTTTCAGACTGAATTTGCTTTCAAGTATTTGATGGCCATTTCAATTTCTTCTACTGTGAACTGACTATAGCCTTAGGCCATTGTCCCATAGGCTTTTATTGATTTCTAAGAATTTTTTGTTTATTCTGGATACTAATATTATTTCACTTAATTTTATAATAAATATCTTCTTTTTGTCTATGACTTCTCTTGTAACACTGTTTATGGTGTCTTTTGATCAATAGAAATTTTAAATTGTAATTTAATCAACAGTCATACATAAAATTCAGATTGTAAACCTTTTAGAAACTATACATATACACACATGTATGTATATGTAGCATATATTGAGTTGTCATCCATAAATAAAAGGCTATTTTATATCCTTCAGCAAATATTGTAATTTTTGTCATAAATATCTTTTAAATCTTCTGTTAGACGTATTCCTACAGGAACATTAGAGATTTTATTGCAGTTATAAATGGGACATTTCACTTTAATTATACTTTCTAATTTCTTGTTGCTGGTATTTGGTTATGCTATTTTTGTATATTGATCTTGTATCCAACAACCTTCATGAAACTTGCCTGTTGCTATGATTTGTAGAGTCTCTTGGATTATTTTTAATATAGACAATCTTATCATCTGTGGAAGATGAAAATTTTGTTTCTTCCATTCCAGTTATTACACTTATGCGTCTCCTTGTTTTACTACATTTTCTCAAATCTCCAGTATATAGAATAGAATCCAGTTCATTGAATAGAAACACTGGTGAAGGATTTCTGTGATTATTTAGGAATGTTTCTGGAGATGGTTTTCATCAGCTTAGTTTTGATTCTCATTTACTGTTTTCTTCTTATAGTAATGTTGCACTTCTCTGTTCATTTTAAGTATGTTGAATTTTCCTGGACTAGCAGCAATCAGGTAATTCTGAGGAGGGGCAATGAGATGTTTAAGCAGTTTTCTCAAACTCTTAGTTCAAGAGTGCCCTCTACTGTTGGAACAGTGAAGTGAACTTTATTTCATTAACGGTTTCTTTTTTGAAAGTGTGATGCTTCTAGGACCCTTAATTTTGGAACTTGAGTTTTTATTTTTCTTTACCTTGCTAGTTGCCTCCCAATTTCCAAGGGACAGCACCTTCCAAGACTGCCACTGTGATCTTGAATACTATCCAGGCCTCTTTCTTGAAAAGCCAACCTTCAGATCCTCTAGTCTCAAACTTCTCTCAGTATTGTCTCATCAGGGAAGGATGCCTTGCTTTCTGGGGGTGATGCACCTCTGTGTTCCATCCCCATTATGAACTTGCCACCTTCCCTCTCGTGTAATCCCCACCTGATTTTGCTCCAGAATGGGCTCTGGATCAGGTGTTACTGATTCTGAATTGTTCTCTCACCTACATATAAACTGAAATTTGTAGTGTTCTCTAGCCTCTGTTATACTCCGGGCATGGGCATTATATGATTTTTATTTGCTTTTGCTGTTGATCTATATGGTTTGGAAGGATATATGTAGGTATGGGTTAAAGGAACCAAAGGACCTAGGAATGTATAGCATCTTGTCCTGACTATGGATTTATCATTTTATCTTTGTGATTCTGACATTTTTTAACATATATTCTACATGTTGTTAGGTTTATTGACTGATACTTGTTCCTTTAATCAGTAGGTAATCTTATAACTAATAACTTTTGACTCAAAGTCAATTACATTTTAATATAAGAACACTAACTTAATTTGGGTTAATATTTTCTGGATATGTCTTTTTATATGCTTCTACTTTCAAACTTCCTTTGAAAATAATTTTATTCTAGTTATAGAAGCATAGAGTTGTACTATATAATACATATTGACATTCAGTTTAAGTCTGAGAAATACTTTCACTGGTGAGTTTAACCCCTTTACTTTCATTGTGATTGCAAATTTTTATTTTATGATTGTCTTATGAGCAGAAATTATTTTTCTTTCTTCCCTTTATTCTCCTTTCCTTTTTTTTATTAGATTGATCCTTCAAAAAAATATTTGCTAGTTTGAAAATTACACTTCTAACTTTTGTTCTCCTAGTACGCAGTGCTTATTTTTTTTAAAAAAGACCTTCTTCATTCATGAGAGACAGAAGCAGGCTCCATGCAGGGAGCCTGATGTAAGACTCAATCCCAGGACTCCAGGATCACACCCCCAGCCAAAGACAGACGCTAAACCACCGAGCTACCCAGGGATCTCTGAGTAGCTGGTGCTTAAACTTGAGTCTACTTCAGCATCACCTAGTGGTCTTGTTAAAACACAGACTCCTGGGCCCTACCCCCAGTTTTCTAATTCAGCAGATTGGGGATAGGTCCCAGTTGTTTGTATTACTAACAAGTTTCCAGGTAATGCTAATACTATTACTCTGGAAACCACACTTCAAAAGCTTAACAGGAACGGTGGTTACCACTAGGTAAAATATTAGCACCTGTACCCAATGAATTTGACTTCCTTGTTATTTTGGAATTCTTTTACTTGCTGAATTCTCTTTCCCAGTAGCATAGCCATGAATTAAAATGTTTAAATTTCCTTGTGCCCAATATTTTTAGGTGTGCAGTTCTCAGACAAATTTCTTTGATTGTCCCATAATATTGCCAGAAACAGAGCTGTATTTATTTTGTTTAATTATTTCTCATAGAAAACAATTTCTCTCCCACCCTGAGTTCCAAACAGAGAAGCTTTCTTGCAAGTTTCTCTGGATTGGTAGCTGGAGTTTCTTTGGTTTCTTCTGTTTGAGAGTACAGACTTTATAGGCTTCTGGCTGTAAGTAGTAGTTCTTTGTCTTCTGTGAAACTAAGGCTATGTCTCTAGCCCTTCATATGCAGTTCAAACTCTAGCTTCTCACTGTGGCACATCATCTATGGCTTCCCATTCTACTGTGTATTCTCTTCATTTCTAGCACGATAGGGTTTCCCTTTGGAGCTTAGCTGTGCTTGTAGACTTGGGTGAGGGAGGATTTATTTATTCAGTACTGCTATGTGTTTAATGGGGTGGAAGTTGGGAAAGATATATAATCTCAGTCTACCTGGTTATCTTCTGTTATCTTTTTCATATGTCATCTAGCAGAGAACATGGAGCATAGAGTCAAAAAGATTTGAAGGACAGAAAGTAGATGGTAAAGAGAATCCCAAAAGTCTGGAATGCACTTACTCTCAGGGACTTGGCATCGGTAGCATATCATTAGTAAGAAGAGTAGTGAGTGGTACTGAATTGGAAGTAATTGAAGGATGGGCATCCTGTGGTGGTAGGTAATGCTATGAACAAGGTCTGGGACATTGCAGGTTTTAAGAATTTTATTAGGGCCAATTGTCCTTTAATTTTTTTAATTTCATGTAAAGTATATAAGACTAAACATTTTAAGTGTCATTCTTCTCTCAAATACTGACTTATCCTTCATAGGTATGCATTGACAACATATGCTGAAGAATATGCTCCACCATATGCCTATCAGCCACTTGTGAGTATAAAATGGCTGAAAAGCCTTATTCTAATACTTACTTATGTACTTAAAATGATTCTTTACATCTAGTGTAAAGACTGGTACAATAGTCGAGCTTGGGAAGAAAGGACAAATTGCTGAGATTTATGATATTTTATATTTATTTAGAGATATTAGCTATTTGTGGGAGTCAATGGAATGTTTTATGGTTATGATTTATTTTTGGAAGTTTATAGATTTCAGAAAGGAAATATTGCAGTGTCCAGAATATGTTATTTTCTTCTTCGTCTTGTTTTATTCTCTCTTTCCTTGAATTCGATTTATGTGGAATAAAACCCTACCTTTCTAGTCGTTTGTATTGCACTGACACATAAAAGTAAGTGGTTTAATTTAGCTCTGGGAGATGCATGTGTTGATAAAATATGTCCAGTTTATATCTTCATTTCACTTGTACTTAAAAAAATTATACAACAGAAACAAAATAAGGCTGCTTCCTCTTAATCTCGACTGGTACAATGGGTAAGAGATTTAACTATTGAAAAAGAGGAGGAAATAGTCATCTTTATTTCAAGAGCATATGATTATCTTCCTAGGAGAACTAAGATATTAAACTGAGAAGTAGCCCGGCTAGCTCAGTCAGTAGAGCATGAGACTCTTAAACTTGGAAGTAATTAGAAGAAATAAGACCATTTAGTTAGGCAATTGAATACAAAATAAGTATATCAAAAACAATCTTTGCTTCCTATCAGCACTAACTGTTTAGTAAACTATAAAAGAAAAAACACGAATTACTATAGCAACAGAAATTTCAAATACTTTTGTGAAGAAAATTCTAAACCAAATAAAGATCAATGAAGAAGATGTGGTAGTTTGTCTCCAAAGATGATGGCCTTTCCACAAGCCCCTTCCCCGGGACAAGGCGACTGAAGCTCCACCTTTTGAATCTGAGCTGTCAGGTAACTGTTTTGATCAATAGAACATGACAATAGTGACACTATGGCAGGTCTAGGCTAGATTGAAAAAGACTGCTTCCAAGTCTTGGAGCCCTGAGCTACCATGTAAGAAATCCAGGCTACTCTACTGGGAGGAGAGGCCATGAGGAGGAACACTGATGAGCCTGGTTCATGAATGAGGAAGCCTTGAGCATCCAGCCTCGATGAGCCTGAACTATAGCTCCAGCTGCTATCTGACCACAACCCATGAGAGATTCCAAGAAGATAACAATAAATTCTTGTTTGAAGCCATTAAGTTTATTTTTAAAAATGTACTCTTAAAGATAACTGAGACAGAAATCTTGACTGCAAGGAAATAACCATTTTAGAAGACTGGAAAAGTAAATTAATTATGAATTAAATTCATAAATGTAATTATATTAAAAATCCCAATGGATTTTGTTTTCTATTAGAACTCTAATTATAAGAGTTACTTGAAAGAATAAACTGTTGAGAGTAATCAAAAGTTTTTGAAATCATCATAAAACCAACTTAGTGAAGTATAAGATTCATGACACTATACTAAATTTTGTGTTCTTATTTATTTTTTCTCATTAAGAAGAACATTTAAATCATAAAGAAAGCAACTATGATAAATTATGGATTAATGCCTTATAGGTAAAGAATTTATACATATTGGCAGGAAAATTGTTAAGACACTAGAGAAAGAGCAAAGGACAATATATAGATAATTTACAAAATAAGAAATGTAACTAGCTAATAAATATAGGGAAAACCCCAACTGACAAATTAATAAAAAATGTGAATTAAAACAATAAAAAATGTTCTGCTAATAAAATTGGCAATATTTTTAAAAATAATATTATTTAAAGAGTAAAGATGGGATGAAATGAGTACTTTTATTTGTTGCCAGGAAGACTGTAAATTGCTTTAATCCTTCTGGAAAGGAATCTGGCAATACGTATCAAGATACTATTTGATATAATTTTCCTTCTAAGAGACTTCCTCAGAGAAAAATAACTACGAATAAAATTTATATCCAAGGATACTCATCACTGAATTATTTGTAATGGCAAAACTTGGAAAGTATCTAATGTTTTAGCATTAGCAGTAGTACTATTAAATATGTTATAATTGCATGATGAGATATTTTGTAGCCTTTATAATGTTCATTGATGTGTTCTGATAAATCCTGATTTAAGGTTAAGAAAAACATTAGGATACAAAATTGTATACATATAAAATGTATTGTATTAGTATAATATATAAATATCATATATGTATAAACTAGGTAAAAATATAGAAGAAAAAAACCTGAAGAAACTGTCAAATGCTAGTAAGGTTGGCCAATGGAACACATTTTAGAATTTTCCACATACAACAAGCATGATTGCTTATATTCTGAAAAACCACAAGGAAACAAATATTTTTTTAAAAAATGCAATTCAGGCCCATTTCCTTACATACATGGGATCTGGCTGCATCCCTAAGCAAAAGGTAGTTGCAAGACACGTAATTAAAAACCCACAATATGTCAAAGGACTAATTTCTCCACAGACGTAAAGGCAAAGAATGTGAGATATATTCTCAAGCTTTGGCCATTGTGTTGTATATTCATGCTTTTATTTTTTTTTAGCAATACTTGTAACGTTTCTCATGTTGCTTGTTTCCACATTAATAGCACAACACACCATGGCAGTTATTTGGCTTTATTTAGAGTTTTGTTCATTCACCTTCAAGTTCTTTGCCAAAGTAATTGATATTGAGGCATGTTTTTAGCACTACTCCTAGGGCCCCCATTCAATGAATGCTTATGCTGTTACATTGTTATAGGATACCAAAAAAATTAAATCATAATAGCAGCAAATGGTTAAATAATAGTAGAATAGTGACTGAACTCTAACATAAAAGTTACTGTGCACATAAATAAGTGTATGATTCATAAAATACTGACAAAAGAAAGAGAATACTTTTTTCTTGCTAGAGACTTCACCATGTGGACTTAGCATAAATACAGTACACCATTTTCAGGCTATCATGTTTGCAATTATGCAGTTCCTGAAGAAATCTCAAAATATTTGGGCTCATATTTCAAATATTTTGCATGAATTGAAACTATTATTTTTTATATTATCATTTTTAATATTTTTAAATTAATATTTGCACGAAGTGGGATAGCGTTATAGGAATTCTAAAGTGAATGCAAGTTATCATCCCATAGCTCTAGACATGAGTAAATAAATGGAGTATTAGAAAGCTATGGTATCATTTTTAAGGAGAGAAATGAATTATAAGCTATTTCCTTGAAACTCCACCTCTTAAGTTGGATATTTATTATGGCTCACCTCAATTTCAGCAAGATACCTTCTCTTTTTTTTTAATAAATTTATTTTTTATTGGTGTTCAATTTACCAACATACAGAATAACACTCAGTGCTCATCCTGTCATGTGCCCTCCCCAGTGCCCATCACCCATTCACCCCCAACCCCCGCCCTCCTCCCCTTCCACCACCCCTAGTTCGTTTCCCAGAGTTAGGAGTCTTTATGTTCTGTCTCCCTTTCTGATATTTCCCACACATTTCTTCTCCCTTCCCTTATATTCCCTTTCACTATTATTTATATTCCCCAAATGAATGAGAACATACACTGTTTGTCCTTCTCCGATTGAATTGCTTCACTCAGCATAATACCCTCCAGTTCCATACAGGTCGAAGCAAATGGTGGGTATTTGTCATTTCTAATGGCTGAGGAATATTCCATTGTATACATAGACCACATCTTCTTTATCCATTCATCTTTCGATGGACACCGAGGCTCCTTCCACAGTTTGGCTATGGTGGACATTGCTGCTATAAACATTGGGGTGCAGGTGTCCCGGCGTTTCATTGCATCTGTATCTTTGGGGTAAATCCCCAACAGTGCAAGTGCTGGGTCGTAGGGCAGTTTTCCAGAGTGGCTGCACCAGTTCACATTCCCACCAACAGTGTAAGAGCATTCCCTTTTCTCTGCATCCTCTCCAACATTTATTGTTTCCTGCCTTGTTAATTTTCCCCATTCTCACTGGTGTGAGGTGGTATCTCATTGTGGTTTTGATTTGTATTTCCCTGATGGCAAGTGATGCGGAGCATTTTCTCATGTGCATGTTGCCCATGTCTATGTCTTCCTCTGTGAGATTTCTCTTCATGTCTTTTGTTCATTTCATGATTGGATTGTTTGTTTCTTTGGTGTTGAGTTTAATAAGTTCTTTATAGATCTTGGAAACTAGCCCTTTATCTGATATGTCATTTGCAAATATCTTCTCCCATTCTGTATGTTGTCTTTAACCTTTCCTGTGCAAAAGCTTCTTATCTTGATGAAGTCCCAATAGTTCATTTTTGCTTTTGTTTCTTTTGCCTTCATGGATGTATCTTGCAAGAAGTTACTGTGGCTGAGTTCAAAAAGGGTGTTGCCTGTGTTCTCCTCTAGGATTTTGATGGAATCTTTTTTTTTTTTTTAATTTTTTTTAGTTTATTTATGATAGTCACAGAGAGAGAGAGAGAGAGAGGCAGAGACACAGGCAGAGGGAGAAGCAGGCTCCATGTACCAGGAGCCTGATGTGGGATTCGATCCTGGGTCTCCAGGATCGCGCCCTGGGCCAAAGGCAGGCGCTAAACCACTGCGCCACCCAGGGATCCCTTTTTTTTTTTTTTAATTTTTTTTAGTTTATGGATTTTGATGGAATCTTGTCTCACATTTAAATCTTTCATCCATTTTGAGTTTATCTTTGTGTATGGTGTATGGTGAAAGAGAGTGGTCTAGTTTCATTCTGCTGCATGTGGATGTCTAATTTTCCCAGCACCATTTATTGAAGAGACTGTCTTTCTTCCAGTGGATAGTCTTTCCTCCTTTATCGAATATTAGTTGACCATAAAGTTAAGGGTCAACTTCTGGGTTCTCTATTCTGTTCCATTGATCTATGTGTCTGTTTTTGTGCCAGTATCATACTGTCTTGATGACCACAGCTTTGTAGTACAACCTGAAATCTGCATGTGGTTTTCTTTTTTAAAATTGCCCTGGCTATTCGGG